GGTCAGGTCAGGTACAGTTTTGCAAAAAGCGCGCTACGTGAACGATTTGGTGTCATAACTGCAGCGTTCTTTCTGATTAGACCACTGGTCAAAACAAAATTAGCAACCAGCTCCAACGGAACACATCGCAAGGAAAACTATCAAACTAATTAGTAACGTTTTAGCACTTTTCTTCAACAGTAAGTACTCAATTGAGCTTCATTCAGTGTCATCACACAACGGCACCGGCTAACTGATCACAAACCTCCCAGGCTGGGTTAATCATATGCATTAAACCCACCCCTACTTGTGAGCAATGCTGTGGGATAATTGATACTGATCGTTTGGAGTTAACATACAGTCAACTGTATCCCCATTCGTTGATATCGGGCAAATGGAACCGATTGACTAGCTCTAAAGACACTTGTACAAACATGAATGGCCAGTGGCATGAGCTGGTTAGCACAGTTGTCATACACATGCGTCATCCATACGATGGGTGTGGAGTTGAAAGCCCGGATCCTTATGGTAGATGTGTACTGCTGATGAGCTGTAACAAAATCGAAAGTCGAGTATAGTGCTTCCGAGTGTATGATTGGCTGGAAGAGCTGAAGAATATGCGTGAAGGCGAATTCTGAAGGATATTTAGTTCTAATGGATTAATGATTAACATAGTTAGGCTAATTTTAATACTTGTATTCACTGGTATCCCCTGTCTCTCACCATGTGATCTGACGTTTATTACTTACCCGGAGACCATATCATTACTGTAGAGGTATGTCTCACCTAGTGGCCAAGGCTGATCCTGCTTTGCTAAACGTTACTTGAAGCTGAACATTGTGGGTGGAATGGAAGATATTTTTCGTATAGTTTATGTATGACATAAACCATCAGCATGAACCGGAATAGCTTATTGCTAATCGACTAGTCCAATCGAATTGAGTTCTTGCGTAATTGTAAAACTGGAGTCTATTTTTAACGCAAATGAATCAACCATACTGCAGTTTGAAGATGTGTTTGGGGGTAATAGATCGAACTAGTTGAACTAGTTCCTCTCAAAGCAGCACGAAGCCAGATCTCTCGCGGGGATTACGCGACACCAAATTGTGTCGAATTTGAGCATATTTGTAGTACGATCATAACAATACTGGCATACATACTGTCTCGGGCATTTGCAGTTCGGTAGCATAGGCCATTTTTACGGGAACCGCTTGTCGCGTATATAATTCACCCCATCATCTTTATCTTGTAAAACTCAGTTATGCTCTAATTGTCCATACTCTGTTAAATATGGGGAAGTAAAACAATGGTAAAACTATCGATTATTCAGTTTCATCAGTGTGCTGATACTTTAACAGGATGACGTTTTTGTACTAGTTGTAGTACGCACTGATCACGAAATACGAATCAAGCATCAGAACTCCTGGGTGCCACGTAAGCACTGAATCTCACTGACAGTAGCACGACAGTAGCCCACGCAACTGAATCGCGAGAAAAAGACCACAGGAACAGCAGTATTTCTGGCGTTGTACAGCTTCTGTGTGAACCGCACGGCGTCCGATTGGTCGGTACAATCGTCCGATGGTTTGCAGTCGAAAAGCTGTGACACGTGCACGCTTTGTTGACGTCACCCAGGAAGTTGGATTGATCACACTTGTCCGAGAACTGTAACGTGTCGCTCCGTGCAATGAGTCATTTCGTAGGCTAGGATCACCGCACTTCTCCATGTAGCTACGTGTTAACTGAAGAGACTGCACATTTCGTGGGATTCTAGGAGATAATTGATTTGGGGAACACTAAACTAGAATTTATGATTTAATAATCTGACTCATAAGTGAGTATTAATATTATCAATGTTTGCAATGTCGACGTAACCTTTCCTTCGCTGGCTGATTTCACCTCAATTCGATAGTGTTCACGGTAGCTGGAGAAAAGTTCGTATGGTGTTGGTGACCTGCAATTTTCACTATCTTGTGCTCAGCAATTTTGGCGTTTGGATTGGAACGAAGTTATAGGTACACGGTTTATGTCCAGCCGTTAACGGATTATCGGTTCCGAGAAACCTGAAAAAGCCATGTTGTTTAGAATATCCACCTTCCACGCGTTGGATTCCGGACAGGAACCCATTCACTATGTGCTTGTCTGGATAGCCGCTCAATGATTCTCTCAGGGTTCGGTCAAAAAACGGGAGGAAATAGCCCTGGCTATCTCAGATAACGAGTACAAAACTCAGAAGTTCATTGTGAATCCCGAGGTTTTATTAGGAGGTGTATCAGAATTCAATTGTAAGTATAAGAGAATAGTTATTTCTAAATTCAAGTTGTGTCAAGTGAATAATGGAGGATTTTGTTCAATTTCAAAGGTGAATTCGTTGTGAATATGAAATGAAGCGTGAGCTGAAAAGCTGGGGAGCACTGGACAGCTCATTTGACGTAGTTGGGTTTTCTCAGCATTGTGAATACATCGACCCAACTGGGGATCGAACCCGAGGCCTCACCGGTAGAACGCAAATATACTACCTACTCGGCCACCAGGCAGCTGATCAGACCGTTCTTCATTTTCCATTTACACAATATAGCACAATCCATCTTTGCGAGGTTGTTGCGGGCCACAGACCTCGTTCATCTCAAAACCAGATCCCCAGTTGGTTTGATAGGTTCGCACTGCTGATGAGGCCGAAACAGCTGTCCAATGATTCCTACCTTTTCAGTGCACACTTGATTTGCTATATACACGACGAATTCAGCTTTGAAATTCACTTTTGCCCGATGCTCAATTTTATGCTTTATATATGGTTTACACAACCCTTGTCACGGGAATGCTTTGCTCTGCTGCAAAAGCGATACCACTAGAAACAAATAAACACAAAACTGTCGATCAGACCGATCCTTCAGTAGCCGGCTGTAGTAGTTGAACTAGACACAAATCACTGATTACGATTTCGGAATCACGGACTGAACGGAACCACTCAATGGCACTAGCTAGCACTTACACGCCGGTATCTCACGTAAACCGAGACGCAAGGAAAAAGCCATAAGAGGTAGCAGTTCATTCATTGGAAGAATTCCGTGGGAATAGTTACCATGTGCAACGCGAGTTTATTGGCTATCCAGGCATCCAACAATCTCTGGCTCGTATTCATGACGCGATACAGCTTCTGTCTGGATCGCACGACTTCTGATTGATGGTTCGTTGCCCAGAATCTGTAACCTGTAGGCGCTTGGCTAGCGTCAGATGTGAAGGTTGATTCACCACAGTGAACCAGAAACTATGCCGCGCAGCTGCGTGACTGGCGTTATCCCGTGGATTGGGATCACCAAACCGGCTCACACATACGAATGTAGCCATCTCGTTCCAAGTGAAAATCAGAGTGAATGTGTTCGGAATATTTCATTCTGCCGCTTGGATCCAGATGGGATGAAACATCATGTCAGCTTTAAATAAGTTTTTGGTTTTATTTGCACTTTGCAGGTTGCAGTGAATATCGTGCATCTCTGAAGGGGCTGGTTTGTACAGCGCTCGCGGATGCTGTGAACGCTGGCTGAGTGATTGATAGAATTGTTCGAGCCATCATTCTGTTTTCATATCAAAACTAACCCCATTCTGTTGATCCCAGCTTACGAGATAACGCAAACCACGGCGCGACACATTACCGTTTTCGGAGAACGTTGTGATGTTTGATTCAGTTTGAATCTATCTGGTTAAACAATATGTTCCTTTGATGCTACCCGTTTCATGAAACCGTGGACTTCCTCTGCGAATTCACCACTTGAGAGAACGTCAGCCTCAGCCTAACTCCGTTTCTATTGAAACCTCTCATTTTACTGTGCACTAAAAACGAGCGCTTCCAGTTTCAAGGTACTGTATTTCGACAGACAGACAGACAGTGCTGCGATGGGTAGCCCCCTCAGTCCTATCTATCCTGGCTGACATTTTCATCGGTATGATTGAAGCACGACTGGACGAAGTATTCAAGGGAACATTTTCCCATAAACGATAGGTGGAGAATGTTTTTACCATCTCTAATCACCCTGACGAAATGGCTGTATTCCTGGGTGAATTCAACGCAGCACACCCGAACTTGAACTTCACCTGTGAAGTGGAGAAGCCCAATTCGTTAGCTTTCCTTGATGTTCTAACAAGCCGTAAAAGTGACGGTTCTATTCCACGATCTATCTTCCGCAAGAAGACTTGGTTTGGGCAGTACCTTCACTTCAACATTTTCTCACCAAGGAACACAAGAGAGCCCTGGTTCGAACGTTTTTCCATAGAGGGAGAAAAATATGTACAGAGGACACAATACTAAATGGACAGGAGAACATAACGGGTAAATGGTTATGGGGAATCACACACACTGTACATAATCCTACACGCACACACACACAGATATATGGTTATTACTGACCGGATTTGTTAATTTCCTTTCTCTGTCCATGTTGCTCAATGTTATACGTACGCGACCGAGAGGGTATACGAAAGGAATTCCTATCGCAGTGTTTGTCCTCTGACTCACCTGATGATATATATATAGTCAATACCAATCTTTTCAGATACGGCGGCAAATAGTTATGGGTGAACGAAACAATATAGCATAGATATGGTTCATTCATTTGTTCGTATATTTTCAACTGGGCGACAGCAGGTAAACCGTGTCTGTGCATCCACATTCACAACTAATCCCATTGTTTTGCGACTCGCCGCGCGTGAACGTATCCGCTTGGTGTGAATAAGTAGAACGTAGTTTTTCAGCCCAGTATGATACCGAAAGTCACCTAAATGAACAAATAGTTCCAGTCAGAGAGAGAGAGAGCAGAATGAAAACACCAATCTTTTTTGGAACTGATAACTGGATATGTATTTCAGTAAACCTCCATGGAAATAATAAGTCAGTAGTAGTTGACCGGCGATGTTGTTAACCCTAGATAATGTGCATAATTTCATCGACGGAAGTAGTGGAAGTTAGGTAGCTGAAAGACAGACAGACAAATCATACTGAATTTGGCCAATCAGCAGCTCCGATCTCACTGATTCACTTTGATCATCGGTTCCCCTTCACGCTGCTTCCGTGGATATTTCGGTTTCCATACTTTTGCTTTAGACGGTGGTAGCATCACATTGTGACCGGTCTGTTCACTAATGATCAGATCAGCTGCTCGTTCGGCAAGCATAATGACTGGCGCGTTTAGATTGCCGGACACAATCGAGGGCATAATACTTGCATCGACTATGCGCAATCCGTCCAGACCCCATACTTTGCAATTCGGTTGCGTAACGGCCGCCTCTATTCGGTCATTACCCACGTGACCGCGAGACTGTTTTTCTTCTCTCGTGATAATTCTGCCATCCGGGTTTGAGCCCATACGACAAGTGCACGACGGATGATATGCACTGTCACCGAGAGCACGAACAAACTCGTCCAATTCACGGTCACTTGTCTTGTTCGGGCCTGGGGCCAATTCGATTCCGGCAAATTCATTAGCCAGTGCAGGCTGTGCAAAAATCTCTCGGGAAAGTCGAATACTCGCACGCATTTCCGCCCGATCATGCTCATTGGCCATATAGTTCGCATCGATATGAGGTGGTTTGGTCGGATCGGGTGAGGTTATTAGTATTTGCCCGGTACTTGTCGATCGCATCGGACCCACGTGGACCTGAGAATGAGGGAACGAAACGAAACGTAATCCAGTGTATTTCTGTTAAATAAAATGGGCTGAAGTTGTGCTTTTTTATCTATTTCATGTATAAAGAATAGTTAATTAGGTTAGCCTAATTTAGTGGTTACGAGGATTCATGATAACCGGCAGCCTAAGTCCTGTATACAGAACTGGCGAGCCACGTAAGATTCCGACTGAATCAGTGTGTTCAATAAAAGTCGGCACAGAGCACCTAAAATTGGAGAGGAAAACATTAGTAATTCAAAATCTGCGTCAAAACGTTTGAATACTGTTTATGCTACAGGTTGATTTGTTCATCTTATTCAAGTTTCAAATGACCATTCGATCGTAAACGTCAACTTTCTCTTTGAAGATCAGCCATATGCATATCATTGATGGACAGTCATCTAAATATAGATGTGACATCGCACAAAATCAGCCTGATAGAATGTGTTGTACCGGGGCGTTGTTGGTGCCCGAGCATAGTCTCGAGTCCCGTCGAAATTCTTGATCTTTTCCCATTTGTATTACAAAACAGAGATCGCGTTGTGAACAATTTGTAGCACCAAACACGACTGTTACTTCACCTGTAGTCTAAAGCAAAGGACGATTAATTTATA